CACCAGTTCCCATGACCCCACACATCCTTGGCAATTCAATAGGTGGAAGCATTGCGTAATGCGGCCCGCGGCCACTTCAAACGGCCCCCGCCCACAGCCCTGCAGCCCTGGCGCTGTCAGGAAGTGTTCCAGAGGGAACACTTGCTTCCTTCGATGGCTCGGACTGACCGGCCCGGAGCAAAGATAAAAGTGTTTGAGGCATCACGAGTGCTGAGTGCTGCTTGGAGGCTGCGGCGTGCTCAGGCTGCAAGACTGAAAGTTTAACGCATCAGTACAAGTTATCCGCCTTATAATGATTATAATTAATAATGATTCCTTACAGTGCTTTTCTGGACACTCCACTGAAAGCGAGTTACAAGTAATGGGGAATCCCACTGCCACCACCAGTGTGCAGCCCCACCTGGATGATGCACCAGTCTGCTCCTCACACACCAGCTCTCAGTGGGGAGGAGAGCAGAGTGATGAAGCCAGTTCAGAGATGGGGATTATTAGGAGGCCATGATTGGTAAGGGCCAACTGGAAATCTGGCCAGGATGCCGGGGTTACACCCCTACTCTTTTCGAGAAATGTCCTGGGATTCTTAATGACCACAGAGAGTCAGGACCTCGGTTTTATGTCTCATCTGAAGGACGGCGCCTTTTTGCAGTATAGCGTCCCCATCATTATACTGGGGCATTAGGACCCACATAGACTGCAGGGTGAGCGCCCCCTGCTGGCCCCACTAACACCTCTTCCAGCAGCAACCTTCGTTTTTCCCAGGAGTTTCCCATCCAGGTACTGACCAGGCTCACACCTGCTGAGCTTCAGTGGGGCTGCCAGCTGTGAGTCACAGGGTGATTTGGCTGCTGGCCTTATGACCTCCCCCAGGCAGTCTCTTGACATACAGAAAGGCTGCAGGCAGTCCCTCTAAGTAATTCCTGCTCAGGTCCTGTGTTGTGTGATCCCAAAGACTATCAGTGTCCAGCTAATTCACTTAAAAATCTCAAAACAGCAGGATCACTCTGATGACTCTGCACAACCTGCTTCATGCTAAGTGCAGAGTCAGCACTGATCATGTGGCCGTCCTGCCTGCTCCTAAACATGCCTCTTGGGAGAAATTCTTCTTGAAATATAAAACCAATTCCATAGGCCGTAATGCATAACCCCCCCCCAGCATGTGCATACTCAACTGCTTAATGTAGTGACGCAAATGCAGTTACACACCTTTTCCACATTCAGTTCCTCTACATTATTCAGTTCTGCCTTAGAATGCATTTATATAAATTTATATTTGTAAATGCTCTGCAGACAGACCTCAGCTAAGGTCACTGGCAATTGCCCTATTTCACAATGAACGCACCTGAACTGCACTGATAGAACGTTTGGATTAACATAAATGACATTAGCACGACACCGAGGGTTAATCACAATTGGAAACACCCAAATTCTTTTTTTTCTCTCTGTAACGAGAACGTCTGCAGAGACACCGATGGCCGGAAAACTTTGAAAAATGAGTGAGATTCGGGGAAGAGGGCGCATTAATGAAACAAATGTCATTCCGTGTGCAATCACTCCCCAGACTCACAGCTGTTTCACAGGCCTCTTTTCCCAGTGCTGTACGGGAGACATTCCCTCCATTCCAGACAATCCACAGATACCATCAGAGATGCCCTGAGCAAGCTCTCCCACCGCGTATATCTGGGATACGAGTGCACGTTCAATGGGGGGGACACACACTAAAAAAAAAGTGGTCCCGCCAGCCCATGGCCCAAAAAAACACCCACATATTCGGGAAAAAAAAAAGGAAATTGCTATCTAAATGACGTGCATGGGAACAAGCATACAGCGGCTTTTCATTTCAGGAAAGAATGCACACCATTTGTTTTTATAAAGTGGACGTGACCAGCCAGCCAAGCCATTACACACACAGTGCAAATAAAGTACTTTCGTAATGTAGGAAATGTAGGCTTTTGTTGTTCAGCGTGATTTAGTAGATGTCTGTGCAT